CATTCACATTACATACTGATTTAATTTATTAGTTTTTATTATATATATATATATATATATATATATATATTGATTCATGTAACTAACTTAATTCTATGCAGTGGAGTCCTCCTTGTATATGAATATTATGCCATCATGGGCCACATACATTTTAATTTCCTGCAGTCAGTGAAAACAACATGGAAGCTTTGCAAACTTGTGGTATGGGACCATCACTTAATTTCGGGCCCTGAAATTATGTGTATTAATAGATCTTTGAAAAATATACAATTTTTGTTAAGGTTTACTTTTGTGTGTGGGGGGGATAGAATGGACAATGATGGCATCGTGACCACGAGAAAATTATCTTTAGCTGATTTGTTGTTGATGATTTATGAACCACTGGAGTGAAGCATGTGGCATTCAGTACAGAAATAGATCACAGATACACCTATGAATTATGTAGGAGGTAAACAATTACATATATGCCTGTGGTGCAAAATTTGTATATTTGACATATACATAATCTATATTTAAGCAGTAAAATCTTCACAAAATAAACTAAAATAACTATAATAATAAAAATACATCTAAGGATTAGAAATCTATGTATGTAGGAATGCATGCTTTATGAGTTCCATTTAGAGCCCTTTCCTTTGTTCTCCTCTGAGTCACTGATGTAGAGTAATTACCCAGAAGCACAGAGTAGTCTGGGTGTGATGTAGGCGTGTGTGAGATGACTTGTTTCAGCAGTAGTCGATAGCGGGGTATGCGCTGTATTGGTGCAATAAGTAGTGACATCAGTTTTGTTGACACTTCAGGTCGACTCTCTTGGTCTGCTATGTAATTGCTCAGAACTGGATTGGTCTTCTGCAAATCCTGGTTTCATATTATAAAGTGACAGTTATACCTTTCAGAATTATAACTAACTACACAAGAATAAGGGGCCACAATGCAGTTTTATACGACATGAAATCAACAGTGAACATCAAACAGCATGTTCTTTTGGCACATTTGCAATCCTGCCTGTTAAGATTGTGACATCTGTCCATTGCCAAATATATGATTCCAAGATATGTTCATTTAAAGTGTAATGTTCTGGGTTTTGACAATATTTAATCTAATAGATGGACATTGATTTTTGGAACAGACTGCTTTCATCTTCAGGATTGAGGAGTGTAGTTTCAGGAATCTGTCCCATTATATAAGCAGGATGCAAAGAAGATGGTCATGGAAAAAAGCTAAGGACAGTTCAATGGGAAAAGAAAACACAGAGGAGTACAATCTAATCAGTCATCACGATGAAAACATCAAAACTTACATGTGCTTGTAATGTAGTGGGCACTGGGGGTGTAATTCTAAAATTAAAAGTGCTGGGGCAGTCCAGAACCCAGTTCTTGTTTGAAAAAAAAAATGTGGATGAATCATAATATAAGGTAATTCTTGTTGTTACTTAATGACAGTTTTTACAATTTTAAACACAGAATTGAGTGACAGACAGCTACTGAAATGCACATATTTAAAGAGGTTGGTGATTCGGCCTCAAACATAGCAGTTGGAAATTAAATAAGCTATGATTTATTTGTTTTATACGATTACTTTTTAAAATAAGTGCTATGTCAGCTACAGTAGTCCTGCAATGCATTTCTTTAAATATGTTTCTCTGCGAAGAACCTTGACCACATAAAAAGGTGTAACATAATACTAAACACAGTACCTGTAGAACAACCATTGCTTCTTTATAATCATACGCATACACAGAATACAGTTTGAAGAATGGAGCCAGCTTCAAGAACGCTGCTGAAACATTTTCAGGATTACACTTCAGTTCATTAAGAAGTTCACCATTCACATTATAAAGTGTTTCAATGTGCCCAAACAAAGTCATGTATGTAGTATGGGGAATGAAACTCTTCTTTGTCAAAGGTTCCATAAAAAACTGTAACAGAAAGAAAGAATTGTGGTGTCAACTGCACGTGACAAGAATGTATGATGAGATATGACCAGGCAGCTTTGTCTAGTAACATCTGCTATCCCTACTGATGCCATACTTGGTTTTCCTCGGTCTGGTCAGGCAAATGCTAGGTTAGTACCTTGATTACACTGTGATATCGTCCTTCCATATCCTTTCCAGTTAATTCACTTAACTCTCTTTAGTTTAAATACTGACAGCATCTTAAAATAGCCCATAAAAGAAAGAAAAGATGAGATGGAGAAGTGATGCTTTCATTCATATCTAAGTCTTTAGATATGGGCATTACCTCCAAAGAAAGGAGCCAGGATAAAAATTTAAAAATGATTTGAAAATATTATAAAAGTAAAAAAAAGTAAAGTAAAGCTATCCCTGTACCAGGCCGTGAAGGCCCGTAGGGTTGTGAGAGGTTGAGGGTCCACATTATCTAGACAATCGGCTCAAAGATGGCAGTGAGGTTGTCAGCCTTAAGCGCCGGTCACACTTTACTCCCTGAGTAAACCCCAGGGCCTAGTGTGGCTGGAAGGATTAGGTAAACTGAAAAAAATCCAATGACCTCATCAGGATTTTAACCCGTGACCTTCCGGCTTGTAGTGTAGCACCTCAACCACTACGCTACCGCGTACCCCCTTTGAAAATATTATATTTTATATAAAACATAAATTGTATTTACAGAAATTTCGCATTATTATTCCAGAAAATATTAGGTTCCAGAATGAAATTTTAGGCATCATGATGACATGTAGGGAGCATGGAGACAAGGCTCCTTATATACTAAATCTCAGAACTACAGTAAAAAGGGATGGTGATCAGAATCATGCTGTTGAGAAGAAAATGACCTTCCTACCAAGTATCATAAAAACTGGCCACTTGGATCAAAAGTTTTCCTTCTTTTTTAGGGAATGGTAGAGGGGAAAAATATTGAAGAGACAGAGGGTAGGTTATATATCACCCACTAGGACTTCTGTCTTTTTTTGTAAATCAGATTTGAAATAACTTAGCTTCCCAACTTTACCAGTTACACCAACTTTGGCACAGAAGTTGTTTCTATATTGATGACACTATGAGTAATCTTGCCGGTCACAGTAGCCAAGCAGTCTAAGGCATGCACTGTCTTCGCTCGCTCGGAAGCTGGGATCGTGGGTTCATGTGCGTTTTTCTGTGTTTGTCTACAGGTAGAGGCCTTGCGACGAGCTGATCACTCACCCAAGGAGTCCTATCAAATGTTTAAGATCTAGTAAACCGAAGTGAAACGGAGAGTTTCATGGAGGTAGGCCTAGGCCCACATTGGGGCTGTAGCGCCACAGAAAAAAAAAAAAGAGTAATCTTACTTCAGACATTCATTTGACAAATGAGTGGGGGGGCACAGTCTCCTTTTTTTCTTTCTTACAGGTAAACAGGAACTCAGAAGAACATGAAATGACTCAGTTTGTGTGCATGTGTGTGTGTGTGTGTGTGTGTGTGCATCTTTGATATTACATGAGATATTTAAGCAGAACTGAACAGAAAACAAATCCTTGATCTGTCATACTTCTTTAAGCAAACAGGAACATACGAGGGGGGACCCAAAAATAACCGGAAACGATCTGTTGCGCGCGCATGCTTTGTAGTTACGAGTTGTGCTGCTAGATGGTGTTAGCTGGGGGTCTCCCGCGACTGTTATTGAGCAGGCATCAGTCTGAGTTAAGTGGTTTGTCTGTGGTGCTCTGTTGTGTGCGTTCCTGTTTCAACCCTTTGGCGATTAGTGAATGGCCGACCAGAAGGAACAATTCTTTTAAGAAATTCTGGATCGTTCTGCACTTCACTCTTCAAGTCGCAGCAAACATTCACACGGTTTTCTCTTTGGTCATCTCCGAGCAAGCGAGGAACAAATTTTGCAGACACCCGTCTCATGATGTGCAAACCTTCGGTTAAAATTCGCTGGACCGTGCTCCATGAGATGTTCGTTTCCTCAGAAAGTTGGTCAATGGTCTTTCGACGATCTTCATCAATTGCACGTTTGATTTTGGCAATGTTTTCGTCATTTCTTCCTGTCGAAGGACGCCCGGGGCGTGGCATGTCTTCTGTTGACATGTTGCCAGATTTGAAACGGGAAAACCACTCGTAGACCTGTAATTTCCCCAAAGCATCATCATTAAAGGCTTGCCGAAGCATCCCAACAGTCTCGGCTGCAGTTTTCCCTAACAGAAAGCAAAATTTCACGCACACTCTTTGTTCCTTCTGGTGGGCCATCTCACTAATCACCAAAGGGTTGAAACAGGAACGCACACAACAGACCACCACAGACAAACCACTTAACTCAGACTGACGCCAGCTCACTAACAGTCGCGGGAGACCCCCAGCTAACACCACCTAGCAGCACAACTTGTAACTACAAAGCATGTGCGCGCAACAGGTCGTTTCCGGTTATTTTTGGGTCCCCCTTCGTATATTTGTAGGATTTGAGGTTCTCACAGTCGTGGTTATGAAGACTGCTATCTTCTGGGATATAACATATAGTCTGTGTATTCGACCTACTGCTATGTTTGCTAACTTCTTCACGCTGGTTTCTTGCTTGGCTTATTCCTCGACCATGAAGATGGAGGTGACATGCTCCTCCAGAACATCAGTTGACTTTCAGGAGACTACACTGCATTATATCCAAGACACAGAACTCTTCAGGAGTACACAGTTTAGTGTTGCTGGTATGATTTTGTTATTAATATACAGCTTTTCCCCTGAATATGAGTGAAACAGCGATAACCATCTACAGATGTTCACAGTGTCATAACAATGAAGACCACAATTTTAACACTGAAACTTTATTTTTATGGACTGGGACCAGTTGTCCAGTTGCAGTAACAGATCTCTGATCAAATAGAGATGGCTAAACAGGAAATAAACTTGAGTGCTCTATTTTATAGGATTTCCTATACATCTCCATAGCGAACAGACATTTTTTTCAAACTAGGTCTGGAATTACCTGCATAATAACTTCAAGCTGGTGCAAGTAACTGACTTCTGATGTCAGGATTTCCTGAATAGTCTGACATCTTAAGGACCTTTCTCTCTCTTCTGTAGAATCCTTGTTGATGTTGTCCAGGGCTGAAATGACTGAAAACAGATTACTAGTATGAAACATTTTTGTAATTTTGGAGCAAAACTTCTAGAATATCATATATGAGATAGATTTTTATGCAAAAAAAAATCTGACATTTGATGTTTTCACAGCAATAACTATTCACTGCATTATGTAGGATTTGAGGTTCTCACAGCAGTGGTTATGAAGAGTTCTGTCTTCTGTGACACAACGGTGTGTCATTAGTTGAAAGTCAGCCGGTGTTTTGGAGGAACGTATCGCCTTCATCTTCCAGGTCAGAGAGTAAGCCAAGTAAGAGACCAGTATGAAGCAGGCAGCAAGCAAAATTGAAAATAGGACTGTTCATTGCATCACATGTCTCTGACACTGAAAAAGGAGGCAGCAGGTTCCTCTGAAACATGAAACTACACAGTCTGATAACCCATAAGACCACAATCTTAATTTTCACCATCATGAAGACCTCACATCTACAATTTGCATTCAGGATAGCCAATTCTGTCTTTAGCCTAAATTAAAACTGGGTAATTCCTGATATAAAATCACCCTCTGTACTGAGAATTACTGTGTTGTCCAGTATTCTCAAAACTAGAGAACACAACATTTGAATGTTAGAATACTAGATGATGGACAAAGTAAAAAAACCCAGTAATTCTGAAAGTTATACACCACCACCAGAACTCTTTAGAAACTGCACTAAGCGATGACTTAAACTGAGCAGTACATGGTGTGTTTGATGCTTTCCTTATAGGTATTTTTGTAATGATGAAACAAACCTTTCATTCTTGTTCTTGTTGTAAATATATGGTGCTCATTGATAACATCCCGCAACTCAGCACTCAATGTCAGCTGCCGCTGTGGTGTATTATATGCAGAAGTCATTTTTTCCAAACATAAGAGAGAATAAATGTAGAAGCGGATAACAGTTCACCCAGGTTACCTACAAAAACAAAAGATTATGGTATTCTGGGATGTGACACCATGTAATTTGGTAGATAGTGTCCAACATTTGAGAGGAACCTGCTGCAATCTTCAGAGTAGAAGACAGAGGTAGCAGGTATTCTTGAAATGCTGGTTCCTGTGTACCAAACTACATGGTGTCACATCACAGAGGATGATAATTGTAATACTCACCTCCATCAGAACTTGAAACCTTACAAAGGAAAAGTATGATTCTAGACTGGAAATGATCTTTTGTCTTTGTATATTGTGCACAGGTCATCTAGACCAGGATGTGTTCTTGACTTACTCAGAGTGATCCAGCATCACAGGTCAATGATCCCTTTTCTTGAACTTCTTGTGAAATAATAATATAAGCAACAAAATTTCCTGCTTTGGAATGACAGCAGTGGAAGCAAGTACTAATAAGGTGGGCATCACGTTCTGCAATAAGTATACATCTGCCAGACATCACAGTAAAGCAGATAGCACTCTCCTTAATGTCTTGGCGGCCTCGGCTTCAGTTTTCAGCCCAGAGGCCAGCTGTTTGACTGGAGGGCTTCATTGTTTTCTTCAGTTAAAACAGCTAATTCTTCAGTAGTAACTTCAGAAAGATCATGATAACATCCCCATTCTTTAATTATGAGAAAATTTGTAAATTAGCAAATAGGTAAAGCAATCAAGGTACAACATAATTAATAACAAATCTTATATTAAAACATGTTAATACTTGTTTTATTGAGCAGATATACTCAACAACTATTAACTTGCTTTAATGTTGGTTTTATTATTAATTGTATTGTCACAAGTACCTTGATTAAGTTATGCACAATAGGATGCTGAAATTAAGATAATGGTTAAAACAAAACAATAAGTAGAAAATGAAGAAGATACTGATGAATTTTAATTGTCAGGAAACTGACGAACCTGGTCACACGAAATACATTGGCGACCCGCATGCAGTCTGCGGGCCATGTGTTCTTAATGTCAAAATGTGACCCGGGACCAGAAATTGTAATCCAAATACATATTTTACGTCAGCGTAATACAGCTGCCAATGTTGAAATGGCTTTGTACTACAGCAGTAAGGCACTTTCAGTAGGAATTAGTAATATTTAATGTTTCTATGTACATGCTAACGCGACAGAACTGCACAAGAAAAAACAAATGCTTTCCGTAACTGCTTGACTAACTCATACTCCTATTTCAGCCAGTGCAATATGAAATTAAAAATGAAATTAGATGGATATATGTTATATTCATAAACTTACAATCAGTAGATTTTTGGAAGTCTTAATTTTATGATATTAAGTACGTACATGCCGCCACAAAGATGTACCGAATAGTTTCTCGGTACAATGTTGTCAAGTCAGTGGCAACGTTTCTTATAATAGTAATCAACTTATTTTCTTGTAACAAGGCTTTCCTTTCAGCAGATTTAATAAAATAAGTCAATATGTTTTGTATAATGTCAATGTTAATGATTATTTATTTTACTTGTGTATTTCCTTAGAAGCAAACTGATTAAACCATATCTGGTCACTCGGGAACTTACACATTGAATTTTAACATTAACATGGTCACGTATAATTGTAAAACATACAAAGTAGTTTTCAGTTTATATGTAGTAAATAAAGGTTCACATTAATAACATATTGCCATATTTTAACAAGATTCATTGCATTTTGTAGTAGACCTGGCAACGCTTACGGACGGTTAAAAAAATAATATTTTTGTACCACGTGATTCTAAGCCAATGGTGAACCTACTTTACCCCTCCTCTTCAATTTAAAACCCAGTATTTGTGGAGCAGTAAGATTTAACGGTTTGTTTTAATTGTGTTTTAATTTAATATCAAGATATGTTGCCTTAATGAACTTATTTTATGTGTGAATATAATTTTTTTCAAAGTTGTTTGACTTATTAAGAAGCAGTATTTACATTTATAACCTATACCGGAGTTATCTTCACGATACGTTTATAAATTTGGTAAGGATGAATACTCTAAGCCGCAGTTCGCATGATTTTGTTACTTTAGATTACATTTTGGCATACATTTATTTGTTTGGAATATTACATTTCGTGCCTAATGACTTGTCTCGAAATAAAGAAATATTCATCAAGGTTGGATGTATCTGTATTCTTGTTTATAAATGGATGTTCTTATCAGACTGGTGCATAATGAAATTAGTGATTATAACTTAAAAGTACAGAAAATTGAGTGATCAGATGCATTACATTTCACGTATTGCTCAGCCGCTAGAACAGTTTTTATTCACACCCATATGTGTAGAGATGATATGTTTGTCGCTGGGAAGACCCCTCAATTATACCCATAAATCTACAGACCATACATTTTATTTTTTGTATTTTTTTGCATCATCCATCTAAACGATTCTGTCCGCATTAACCCTGTTCTGTTGTTGTTACTGCCTGTCACCATCGTTATGTGCTATATGATTTACTACTGCATGTGAAAAATTAGTAGCTGTGCTGCCTAATTTACAATCACACTGCTGGATCTCGCATAACAATTTTGTGAATATTGTCCATTCCTTGTTTAAAAATTATATGTTTATTTCTGTGAAGAATTGGTTTGTTTGGTATATATATATATATATTTCTGGCCTATTGTACCAGCCCCAGATGATAGGTGAGGGTGATTGTGGAGCAATTGGTGGAATGAAGATTGGCAGGGGAAACCAAAGTATTTGGAGAAAACCTGCCCCAGCGCCACTTTGTCCACCACAAATCCCACTTGACCAGAACTGGGATTGAACCCGGGCCGCTGTGGTGGGAAGCCAGCGACTAACCGCTTGAGCTATGGCGTGGCCTTGTTTGGTATAGGTTATTATTTGCATTATCTTATTGAATAAAGATTAAGCATCTGATCATTAAATATTCAATTCAAATATCATTGAATGACCAATAAGGGGAAGCTCTGTTACCATCTGTAACTACTTATTATTTGTGAACTAATTAATGGTGAAATGTTGAACTATTAAATTTATTGGATTTTTAGCCTTTTATTTTGATATGGAAGTGAAATTCTATTAAAAATCTGACATCAGCAAAGCACAATGCAATGTAACTGAAAGGAATTAGAAAAGAGAGCAGAATTATTTAGTAGACACATTGAAGAAATATAGAAAAGTGCTAAGTTGTAGACTGTTTGTATGTACTGAAGTCAGTACAAGATAGAATGCCATGGGACCAGGAACATTTCCAAATTGGCACATATCTGGATTTCATAAAGTTTCCTGCAAAATCACAGATAGATGAACATATATTAGTTACCCATAGTTGAAATCAGCATGTATTTCAAAATTCATAAATATATATCTTGAGAATTTCATTATGAAGTTCTACTCTTTATGGCTACCCAATAAAAGGTTCAGTTTCTCTTTGATAGTTTACATATGGCACTTTTTTTTTATTTTAAAACACAGTTTTATTAGAGAATGCATGAAGAAACAAGCCACTTTCTTCTACATTAACAATATCTTTGGTTTTACAGCCCGTGTTAAGAGACAGTCATGAGTTCTCGTAAAAAGATGGAATTTATTATTCAACTGAATAAATTGTGTGCAAACTATGGAATACTCAGTAATATTTGGTTATTATTATGTAATTAGCTGTAATTTATATCCATTTAAAGAAATTGTATGTGGCTTGTTAACAGACTTCTAAGATGTTAGTGTGAGACCTCAAATTCAAAACTGAGGTGGAAATTTGCTAGCCTGAATTAGGTTTTCTGTTGTTTGCCCTGTTTGTGTAAATGTTGATATAGTGCCTTAAGTGGACTGTAGCTCCTTGCTTCCACATCTGTTTCAATTCATCAAACACAATCATCATAATATTTGACAATCCTATGCAATCAGTAAAATGCTATTAAATAACTAAGAATTAGTGTTGTGTTTGTGTGTTCCCCTTTTTGTGTTACAGGTGGAGTAATTTGTAATTATGAGTAACAAAGAAAACAAGTCACAACCAAAAACAGCCAAAGTTCCTTGTGCCAAACTGATTTTGAACAAACAGCACCCTCCTGCAAAGTCAACAAAGGGAGCTACAAAGCCAATTTATGCAAGAAATGTGATCCAGGGAGTTGCTCACACTCAGAAACATGTGTTAGTTCATATCCAAATTATTATAATTATTAAATTGAACATTATACACTCAACTCTCAATTATCCGGGATAATGATGGGGATGGAAATCACGATTAATCGAAAACCTGGTTAGGACAAATTTTATTAAAAGTAGTACTGTAATACTGTACCTTCATAATACTATAGGCCTACCTGTATTTAAATTTATTCAACCTCATATTTATGCCATTTCATGGCCTATTTAATACTTTTTTTTACATTACACTGAAGTATGAATTAGTTACTTCAATCACAGTGTTCAACAACATCCAACACTTTTTACGAATATTCACACTTAACACTTAAAAAAATGTAATATTGTCGTTTGCTTTTTCGCGGCATTTTCCTTTTATCGGATATCCATACAAAGCCTACGTAATATTAGCTTGTCACTTAATAAACTGTTCTCTTCACTCTCAAGATAGTCTAGTAAGGATTCCAAATGATTAAAGCAGCACCATGTGATATTTTCTTACTACTGTATTGCATTGCTAGTTGTTTAACTACACCTCTTTTCCCCAACTGATTGATAATTTCAAGTGTCTGTTGAATACTTGTCCTATATCATGTAACAATGTTCTATAGAGACGAAATACATACATACATATATACATACATACTTAACACAACACTCTTCCTTTTACACCCTGACATTTTGCTAACGCACTTGAAGATCAATACAAAGAGGCTAACTGGAGTGGTGTATCTGTCCTTGAAACATTCCACAAATCCTTGCGTTCTTTTACCCCTACCCTAGAACATTGTGTTAGCATAACAGGACCAAAAAATGCAGAGCTCAGTTCACACTAGTGCAAAAATAGTGTTACAACTCACCATGTGAAACAAAAATGAATGAATATTAAACAACATATAAGCCTCAAAAAGCTCCAGTTAAGCCGTAAACTGGTTTATCCGCCCCCGGATAATCACCATGTGAGTGTATTCTGAAGAAGAAGAAGAAGAAGAAGAAGGAGAAGAAGAGCAATAAAAAGAATATTATGGTATAGCATAGTATTATGAAACTGACACAAATTTGTGCCATTTTAAGTTGCAATTGTGCCACAAAATTTTGTATTGGAAAAGGGGAAAATGTCCATTTTAAAAAATAGCTGTATCCAGTATACAGTAATGTAATGGTGAGGTGATAGCTCTGAAATTGCACAGTCTTGGGTTTGTCATAGCAACAAATTGTTGGGCATTGACATGTATGAATGTAAGTCATGAATGAGTGAGTAGTCTTTTGTTTCACTATATCGTGTCTATTCTATGAATACTGAAGTAGATTTTGGAATATTATTGAACATCAGCAACAATGCATCACTCAGTAACATGTAGGACTGGAAAGGAATACAAGAGAAAGCAGGGGAAGTTAATAGTACAAATGCTTGTGTAAAAAATTATGAAATTTCATGTTGAATTTTCAATGGCTGTTACACTGATGTTATTATGAACATATTTACAGTGCATTTTTTTTTTTTTTTGCTTGTTGCCTGTTCTTTCTTGCGGAAGCAAGGAAACGCAGAACATCAGGTTATATATATATATATGTAAGGACCTTCCTGTACAGTGAAATTATAAACTGACTTCACGAATTAAAAAGTGTACAACTTAAATTTTAGGCAAAAATGTGAAACGTAACAAATCACAGAGTTTGGCAGTTTTTTAACAAATGCTATTTGAGATGTTCTAGTACATTTCTGCCCAATTGTTTTAGAGGGTGCCTTTGTCCAGTTGCTGTACAGCTCATGAATCTTTTATAAAGCCCCATAAAGAAGAATCAGATGACATTAATCATGAAATTGGACTTCCATTTCCAGTCCATTTATCACTACACTGTTCACTGAGGATTTTGATTGCTAGCCAAATAAGCTATGAAGTGGAAAATTGCAAAATAATTCATAACTAATAAAATAATTTACAAATATTAGCACGAGTTTTACAATTATAGTTTTAATGAAATCCTTTGCAAATATGTTTTAAGTTAAGTTTATATTTTCCCTAGCTATATTTCCAGTGTCTTTGTTCTATTTTCCTGTTGTCTCTTTGCTCTTATAGTTTACAGCCAAAAGAGAATCTGAAACAGCCAGCACTGCCCAGGGACAATGTGCCTTCTGTGATCGTGAACCAAGTGTCCAAACCTCTAGAAGTGCTCAGCTCAAATACCAATATCCAGTTGAATCAAGTTTCCACACAGGTTAATTCAAATATAAAACCATTAAATTTACAAGAAACTGTAGTTGTGGGGAGCAACACTTGTTCAAAAAAGGAGGTGCAAGAACAAGATGATAGGTAAGCCATGTAGTTGTCATATGCAATTATTAACTTTTTGGATATTGTCTGTTGTCATTTTATATTTTAAAAAAATTAGAGACTGGACTTTCCCTCTGTCTTCAGATAAAAGCCTACACAGTCGGGCCTAAACGATGGAGATAGTCCCTATGTCTGGACCTAATCCATTCTCTGAAACATTTTTAACACATTGCGGACCGGTGGTTTAAACATTTAAATCACCCTGGGGACCGGCGTTTTTAAACCTGCTACCCTAACTTGTGCGCTGTTCACTTTAAAAATTAATATAAAATCTCCTAATTAATTTTATGAACTGAAATTTTTGGAGAACACTTACCAGAGCTCCTAGAAGTGCTTGTGTGTGTGATATCTCTGGAAACATTCCCCTTTGTGAAGAGGCATTACGCAGAAGTTGCACATGTAGGCAGTTCTACTCTTCTTGTGCTCTGCGCACACACGGCACTGCCTAGAAGGGTGTTTCTTCTTGCAATATTCACTCTTCAGAATTTTCACGAGAATATGTTTCCGCATATCACCTGAGAATCGGCCAGAGGGGTGTACTTGAGGCCTCTGGCGGGTGCGAACAGATGGCCCCGGCTGCACTACGTCTGTGTCTGACGCAGGTACTGCCGCCACTGTGACGTCAGTAGCCCAAGCTTTTGCCAGTTTCAACAGAAATGCTTTGTATTTCAAAGTAGAATTTCT